GAAGATAAAAAATTGAACTCAATTTTCCCTGGTTTTCTTTTCTCCTTTTTTCTTTTTTTCGCATTTGCGCTCTGATATTCATGTGACAATATATATACAGGGTAACGGGCGTTCGGGACGGGCCGAACGCCCGAACGTATGGGACCCCTTGGGGATGCGTTTGGGCCGAACGCGGACCCAAAAAAAACAACAACAAAGTCATCAAGAAAATCTGAAAAAAAGATATGTTATGGAGAAAAATAAATTAAACAAGATTTGCCTGAGCATTACATCCGAATTCCTTACCAAATTTGAAATAAAAATCAAATACGGAAAACAAATACTAATAATAAAAATAAATAAAAATAAAAAAGAATTAAATTTAGTGAGTGCGCGAGCATGTTTTCGACACTGCCATCTTTGGGGATTTTTCATTTTTTTTTGGCATAGCTAAATGCCCTGAAAATGTACAGATGTGTACTTCACATAATACAAAACCCACTAAAAAAGTTTCAAAAAATAATAAAATTGTTTAGACCCCAAACTAAAGTGAAAACAAAAAGTAAAAAGTGAAAAAATATGTGGGCGAGCACGTTTTAACACCGCCATCTTTGACGATTTTTAATTCTTATTGGGCTTAGCCAAATGACTTGAAAATTTACAGGCATGTACCTCACGTCATAGAGAACTCACAAAAAAAAATTCAGAAAAAAATAATTATTTTTAGGCCCCGAAATAATTTTTGGCGGGGTCTGAACGCCGTCGGGTTCGGACCCCGTACGTATGGAGGTCTGCCCGGGGACCTCGCCCGTACGTACGGAGGTTTGCCAATGGAGCACACTTGAGATGAGCCAATCCCACAATGAAACAGTCTTACCTCTATAGCAAGCAACATGGAGCATAATAGATCCGTTATATCACTTTCTTGACTATCTTTGTGTGTGTGTGTGTGTGTGTGTGTGTGTGTGTGTGTGTGTGTGTGTGTGTGTGTTAGGGGCATGACCTCTGCACATCTTTGTGCAAGTGTTGATCGAAGAGTCTTAAACTCTCGGAGGGGGGAGGGGTGGTTATTTTGGGTTGGTAAATGTGAAGCAACCCACTTATGATGAGGTGGCTCAATGCCATACATAGCAATGCCTTGGATATTGTTTTACTCTGAAGCTGTTGTTTCCTTAATGACCAGATTCATGAGAGGTGAGCAGTACGCTGTTGCGCTGGGGCTCCTTGATGAAGGCGAGGTGGTTCTTGGCATACTTGGCTGTCCGAACCTGCCGATGGCATCCATCTCCGTTCCTGGAGGTGTTATGGCTGCTGCCACCTCGGGACAACCTGTTGGCTGCTTGTTTGCTGCGAGAAAAGGCTGTGGCGCGACCGTGGAACCCATGGACTGCTCGCTACCTCCACAAAAGGTAGGTGCGTCTCTTTTTGCGTTTTGCATGTATGTTACAGTCTGCTTCGTGCATTATCCCTGTAGATATGTACCTTTTTGAAAAACACCTTGAACTCTGCTGTTTCGTCACTGGGCCGCAGGCGTTCTTCATTTTATCAGGTGCAACTCTGCGGTCAACCGCATGCATGGGTCTGGTCAACGGTCAAACTGTATACAGGTCTGAGCAGCAGGTATCTGTATACATGGCCGTCTGGTCAACGTTTGACCTCAGTTAGTCTGGTCAACGGTCAAAATGTATACAGGTCTGAGCAGCAGGTATCTGTTTACATGGCCGTCTGGTCAACGTTTGACCTCAGTTAGTGGCAGAGACAGATGGTCGACAATAAATACGATCTAGTCCCCAGTCAATGGTACGCTGTCCGGTCAACATTGAATGGCATACACTGTCTGGTCAACAGTCAATGGCATAGATCGCCCGATCAGCAATCAATGGCATATATTGTCCATCAACAGGCAACAGTACAGATTGTCTGGCCAGCAATCAACAGTGTATATTGTCTGGTCAACAGTCAAAAGTCAGCAGTCTACTTGGTCTTCAATCCCTTTAACCCAGCCTAGAGATGTTGTGACAAGTTCTCATAAATGACTTTAAATCCCTCCAACTCAAAACTCAACCCAGAGTTTTTGGGACAAATTGTGTTTCATCTGTCACAAAGGATTGCATGGTGAAGCGTAGGTGGAAAATTAGAAAGGCCTGAAAAAAACGAGTGTGTGTGTGTGTGTGTGTGTGTGTGTGTGTGTGTGTGTG